AAGGATATGGAAGGGTAGAGAGCCAGTGGTGGCCGGACAAGGTAGGATTATGATGCAGCTTCACTACTAGCAATGACACGCCTGCCCTTATCCTCTCCCCAAAAAGCATCTCACCTGCTCCGCCGCCCTCCCTCCAAGCGCCATGCAAGTCATGTCGATCAGCTGGTCCTTGGTCATCAGCAGGTTCTCGTTCGGCAGGTACTGCGCGAAGCCCAATGCCGCGGTGCCACGTGGCACGATGGACACCTTGAGCAGCGGCTCAGTGTGCTGCAGGAACCATGCTACCACCGCGTGTCCGGCTTCGTGATACGCCACTGTGCGGCGCTCCATTGCACTTATGACCTGGAAGGGAATGGGAGGTCAAGAGGGAAGGGGTTTGGAGGGTGTTGTGAGCAGCGGCTCCGTGTACCCTAGGAACCATGCCACCACCGCATGCCCTGCCTCGTGATATGCTACTGTGCGCCGCTACGTTGCACTTATGACCTGCAATTAAAAAAAAGGGTGAGAGGGAGAGTCGTGAGGGGGTGTTAAGGCACGCCACCACCGCATGCTCGGCCCCGTGATCGTGTACCATACGCTGCCCTTTCCTCTCATCCTGTCTTCCTCAGCCACATCACCTCTCCATGATTCCCCCACCACCCTGCCTGCCCCACATCCCCAGCACTCTCCCATTCACCCTATCCGCCTCACGTACCCCCTTCTTGACTTCCCTTCCCCTTCCCACTCCCCCGCTGCTCACCTTGCCCTTCTTCTCCAGCCCACCAATCACGCGGTCCACCGCCGATTCAAAGTCCTGCATCAGAATCACATCCCGATCATGCCTCGCCGCCATGAGCGCCGCCTCGTTCACCACATTCGCAATGTCCGCGCCCGCAAACCCCGGCGTCAGCGCCGCCATCCGCTGCGAGTAAAACTCCACCTCCTTGTCCAACCTTACGCGGCTCAGGTAAATCCGGAAGATCTGCTCCCGGCCCTTGATGTCCGGGCGATCAATCGTAATCTGACGGTCAAACCGGCCCGGCCGCAGCAACGCCGGATCAAGAATATCCGGCCGATTCGTCCCTGCGAGAACCACAACCCCAGACGTGGTAGTAAACCCATCCATCTCAACCAGCAGCTGGTTCAACGTATTCTCCCGCTCGTCGTTCCCCCCAGCGAACCCCCCGCGGCCTCTGGCCCTGCCAACAGCGTCAATCTCATCAATGAAGATGATGCTAGGGCTGCAGGCACGTGCCTGGGCGAACAGATCTCTCACACGGGACGGCCCCACGCCGACAAACATCTCCATGAAATCCGATCCAGAGATGGACAGAAACGGCACGTCCGCTTCCCCCGCCATCGCCTTGGCTAGCAGCGTCTTCCCCGTGCCTGGCGGCCCCACCAGCAGCGCTCCCCGGGGAATCTTCGCCCCGAGCGCCTGGTACTTCGCAGGATTTTTCAGAAAATGGACGAATTCCATGACCTCCTGCTTGGCCTCGTCACACCCGGCTACGTCTCGAAAGTACACTTTGTTCTTGCTGTGCTTGTCCATTTTCGTCACAGCTGCTTTCCCCACGTTGAAGATCCCCTTGGCGCCACCCGCGCCGCCCGGGCCGCCCATGCCACCCATGCCGAAGCCGGACTGCAGACCGCGGCTGAAGTAGATCCAGGCGGCTATGATGAGCGCCGTGGGGAGGAGGCGCAGCAGCTCCTGCTGCCAGCTCACCTCGGACGCATAGGTCACTGGGATCTGGTGCGGTGGGGGTTAAGAAAGAGGGAGAATACAGCAAATGATGAAGATTAATGGCAGTGACCAAGATTATGGTGAGCAGCAGATGCAGCAGCTCCTCATGCCAGCTCACCTCCAAAGCATAGGACTGGGATCTTATGCGGCGGGGGGGAAGTGGAGGGGAGGCGGAAGGGAGGGGAGGGATGTGTGTCAACGCGATAGTATAGAAACCAGTCAAGTCTCATTGCCGCTAGATGACATTTAAAAACAGCGTCCCATAAGCCATCTCAAAAACCTGACCAGAAGCTCACAGTTCACCCACCCTGTTATGTCCGTCAGTGCCCATGGCATTCTGGGCGTCGTCCAGCTTGCGTTCAAACGAGTCAACGCTGCCAATCTGGAAGTAGTACCGATAGGCAGCCATCTGCTCGACCTGCCTCCGCCGCTGCCTCACCCCCCGCGCCCCTCCCCCTTCCCCCAGCGCGCCCTCCCCCTGCCCCTGCGCGCCCTCCCCCTGCTGGTGCCCGTCAAACTCCCCGTGCTTCTCATCAAAGTACATCACATCTCCATCCCCGTTATAACCCTCCCCAACACTGTTACCAGCACCCGCCGCACTCCCCTTTCCCCTGGCAGCAGCACCAGCAGCATCAGCAGCAGCTGAAGAAGCAGCAGGGCGGCGGTTGGTATACACATAAACCTTGGCCTTGGTGCGATTGACAATCTCCACCTTGGCTACAAGCCCCTTCTCTAGCAGCTCGTTCTTGAACTCCTGGAAGCTGATCTCCACCGCCTCGCTACTAGCATCACTCGTTAGCATTGAGGTGAACGAGAGGAAAAACGCCGCGGACAGCAAGGGGTAAATGGTTCCTTGAAATGTATCCTTGACAAATGTATCCTCCCAGAAATTCTGCCCTTTCTTGTTGCTGTCCTCCTCGGTACCACCGCTACTGTCTGCCTTCTTGCCATCTCCCCCTCCCCCTCCTCCTGCGGCCCCTGCTCCTCCTGCTGTTGCTGATTCCTGCTGGGGCCCGCTGGCTTGTGGCTTCTCGCCTGAAAAGGGTAGAAAAGGCGAGGGCCGACGAGAAAAAGGGGGGCTTGCGTGGATGGGAGGAGAAGTCGAGCGAGGGAAAGGGAAAGAGAAAAGCGGGCAAAAGGGGGAGAGGGGTGGGGCGGCGAGAAAGCAGACGCAGAACTGTGGAGGATTATGAGAGGGAGGGGAGGAGAGCGCGGAGGAGGCAGGGAGTCACCTGGCGTTTGAGCAGCAGCAGCGGGGCGTCCCTCCTCCTCTGCCTTCCTCTTGGGGTAGTAGTGCTCGTAGTCTGCCAGTGGTGCAAGACACGGAGATTAGCTTGACAAACGCGGTGTTAGGGTTTGAGAGCGTGGAAGATAGAGAAACAACCATAGAAATAGGTAAAGGCATGACAGATAACAAATACGCTGCATGCACAAGAACCTAATTGTTTAGTTCGCTTATGAAGCGTCGGATAGACACAGCGCAGTGCAGTTTCGACAGACACGGATAGAGGGGACACGTGGCGGACAGAAACAAGGAGGCGGCTTACTCTTCGGCTTGGGTTCTTCAGGAGGAGGGGTTGTGGAGGAGAGGTGTCGAGATAAGACGGAGGTGTGACGTGGCATGTGGACCTGCGGAGATGGAGAGGGAGGCAGTGGCAAGAAGGAATCGTCGGAACAGTGTACATTCCAGTGCAAACTTCAAACCCAATTCAACAAAATCCGTTTCAGAGCACATAAGTTCGTAAATATGAAGACAACGCGAACTCCACTCAAGCGTCCTTAGCATAGACACACCATGATTCTCTTGTACGTGATTCCACCCTCCGCGACCTGAATTGCGGCCTCAAAACACCAACCGAGCGAAATATGTTACCTGTCCTGAATCAGCATTGCCGGGAACTCCGATCACGGACCCCTCCATCCCACGAAAAGCGGAATACCACCGCCTTCCGCCAAGCTGGTACGGCGACACGGCAATCCCAAGGTCGGATTGTCCTCCTCCCACCGTCCGCGCTTTCTTCCCCCATCCTGACATTTCGGATCCAATTTCCGCCGGTAAGCCACCCCCCGCCTCGCGAATATCCATTAGGGTTGGAGCTGAATGCGGTGTGCCTGTAGCGGGGTAAGCGGCTCCAGCACAGCCACGCTGGCAGTGGTGCCGCGTCAGCACCCTGGCTGCATCCAGCCAACGACCCTTGGATCGTTGCACGCCAGATGAAAACATGATGGAGGAAAAAGATGGGCACAGATCGTGTGCTTTATCGGATGTCTCTCAAGCAGGGAGAAAAGCAAGTGTGAAACAGAACGGCGGAGGAGCACGTGAATTTCGCGAAATCACTGCTGTGATACGCCTAAAAATCCGCGTCAGCACTAGCCGCAGGAATGAGTTTGGCGATGGTATTCGCCAGACCTGCGATAGTACGGCGATTATGGTGTGAGTGGAGTGGAGAATAATCGCCGTTCTATTCACCGCTTGCTTGATGGAAGCTAAGCTCGGATGAGAACAGCACGCAACATGTGTGGCTGCGTTGAAGTTGAGTGATTTGATGCAACCAAAATGGAAGCAGACCGTGCAGCTAAAAACGAATCAGCTGGTAAAACGTACAGGTTTGCCCGTAACTCCATGGACCGAAGTTGCTTGAGAAGCAGCACGAACCAGGGATGCTGATGTGGCCTATTGACAGCTCGCCACACCAGGTAAACTTGTAGAGAACGTCAACAGCCACGCAAGCGACCCTTCATTTGGCCAATCGGTGTGCAGAAAGCGGTTCGTGTGGGGAGGGATATTCACCACAACCAACAGCTTCTCCAACACGCAGGTGCGACAGTTCTGAACCTGCGACCAATTTCGCAACAGGTCGCCAGTTAGACTCGAGCCGCTGCATTACAGTTCGTGGCTCCCACGATTCCGAATGAAAGTTTCTGGATGTGTACTGGAGCTGACGCGAAGTGCTAAATACACCCTCGGCTCAGTGTACATCTCGAAAGGGTCAAGTTTACTGGACTAGCTAGTGCCTCATCCACAATCCCAGTCCTAGAGCAGAGGCAACACCCAACAGCTAGTTCATCATTTTGCACAATCAATCGCTTCACCGACGGCGGAGTGACTGACAGCTAATTCACTGACTCGCACACATTTGTAATTTTGTTATCTCGCTGCTAGAACGCTCCTTGGACGAGCGCAGGTTCAGCAGTTTTGTAGAAGGCGCAGGTTTGTTTAGAGACAGCGAATGATCGGCGCAACTGTCTGTCAGCTACACCAGAATTACGTAGGACGATGACGATTCGCTTCATCTTACTGGTCAACAAGCAGGGCCAGACCCGCGTCGCGCAGTATTACGAGTACATGCGCCTCGAGGAGCGGCGCGCGTTGGAAGGAGAGATCGTGCGCAAGTGCCTCGCGCGATCCGAGCAGCAGGTGGGTTTCCCGGAAGGTTTGATGCTGGGTAGTGGCATGCTGGGGAGGTGGGTGGTGGTGGAGGAAAGGGGTAAGCATTGGATTCGTCGCGGTATGATTGGATGCGATTCGCCTATTGATGCAGCAGGCGTCGTCAACGGCTTGGTTCAGGTGGGAGGAGGGTGATGGGAGGGTGGTAGCGGATAGAGTGGGAAGATGAAGTCTTGCAATTGGTGAAGGAGTTATCTTCTGGTAGGTTAGGTATAGGGAGGTTACAGAAGTTCACGAGGATGAGGAGTAAGGGGAGTAATTAACTGGAAATATATTTCGTGTCCTAATGTTTGGAGTTTATCCTCGTCTGTGCAGTGCTCGTTTGTGGAGCACCGCAATTACAAGGTGATTTACCGGCGGTATGCATCGCTATTCTTCCTCGTCGGCGTGGATGGTGAAGAGGTAAGACTGGATCTCAGTCTCCACGGAATCAATTTCAATCTCCACCGAATCAATTCCAATCTCCACCGAATCAACGCCCACTTGTTTAAGATTAAATAATCCTCTCAGTGTGATTCCTCTGCAATTCCTTCCTCCACACTCCCGCCGCCTTTGGCTTGCAATCGCTCAATTCTTCTCCCCCTTCTCCCTCCCCTCTTTCCTGACCCCCCCCACTCCCCCTTTCCCCTTTCACCCTTGCCCCTCCTCTACTCTTGCATCCCGCCTTCCACCATGCTGTCGTCAGAACGAGCTGGCAATATTGGAGTTCATACACTGCATCGTGGAAACCATGGACCGATACTTCGGCAACGTGGTCAGTGACCCCCTCCCCTCCCCTTCCTGACTTTTGAGTCGTCCCAAAAGTCACCTTGCTACAATGGCGCATCGTGGAAACCATGGACCGATACTTCGGCAACGTGGTCAGTCATCCCCTCCCCGCCCCTTCCTGTTAAAGGGCACCTTCTTCCCCTTTTCTTGCTCTTATGTTTCTGCTCTTCCCTCGTCCTCCTCGCATCCGCCCTTTCTCGCCCTACCCATATTTGCAGTGCGAGTTGTCGTGTTTCACGTCACCTGTTCATTGTCGGTGTTGACTCCATGTCTGGCTTTTGAGGCGGTGCAAGCCGGACATCATGTTACACCTGACCATCCGTCCCTTCCTCCCCTCCTCCCCCCACGTCCCCACCTATCCCACGGTGCAAACTGGACATCATGTTCCCTCTCTCCTCCCCTTAGCCCGTCCTCCCCCCGCCCATCCCACAGTGCGAGCTAGACATCATGTTCCACTTGTGACTCTCTCCCCTTTGCCCGTCCTCCCACTCTCCCCTCTGCCCCTCCTCCCTCTCTCCTCCCCTTTGCCCGTCCTGCCTCTCTCCCCTCTGCCCCTCCTCCCTCTCTCCCCTCTGCCCCTCCTCCCTCTCTCCCCTCTGCCCCTCCTCCCTCTCTCCCCTCTGCCCCTCCTCCCTCTCTCCCCTCTGTCCGTCCTCCCTCTCTCCCCTCTGTCCGTCCTCCCTCTCTCCCCTCTGCCCGTCCTCCCTCTCTCCCCTCTGCCCGTCCTCCCTCTCTCCCCTCTGCCCCTCCTCTTTCTCTCCCCTCTGTCCGTCCTCCCTCTCTCCCCTCTGTCCGTCCTCCCTCTCTCCCCTCTGCCCGTCCTCCCTCTCTCCCCTCTGCCCGTCCTCCCTCTCTCCCCTCTGCCCGTCCTCCCTCTCTCCCCTCTGCCCGTCCTCCCTCTCTCCCCTCTGCCCGTCCTCCCTCTCTCCCCTCTGCCCGTCCTCCCTCTCTCCCCTCTGCCCGTCCTCCCTCTCTCTCCTCTGCCCGTCTTCCCCCCAACACAGTGCGAGCTGGGCATCATGCTTCACCATCTCTCTCTCCCCCCCCCCCCCTTTGCCTCTCTGCCCTCCCTCTTCCCCCACCCATCTCGCAGTGCGAGCTGGACATCATGTTTCACCTGGAGAAGGCGTATTTCATGCTGGACGAGATGGTCATGAACGGCTGTGTCATGGACACCAACAAGCTCAACGTGCTCGCTCCCATCCAACTCATGGACAAGTCCTCGTAGCCCGGCACCTGCAGCACTAGCAGCAGATGCAGCAGAACCCCCAGCAGCAGCAGCAGTAGCAGCAGCAGCAGACCTTACCAACATCCAGTCGTACTAGCCCAGCAGTAGCAGAAGCAGCAGCAGCAACACCAGCAGCAGCAGGAATACCAGCAGCAGACCTTACCCGAACCTATACACCTTGTGGAAAATCTTTCTCGGAGCCAAGCAGCAGCAGCACTTGGAGTCTCCCTAGCAGCAGTGTAACGCTCCAGCAAGTCTGGAGTGCATTCGTTTTTATTCCACATGGTGAATACCGTGAAGCGGCATCTATACAGCTCTGATCCCTGCTTGTAAGGGCTGTACCTCGTGGAAGATGCCCCTTGTGCAAACAAGCAAAACGTAGGATGAGGCGGTTGTTGTTGGGCTGAGAAAAGCCCTTAGGATCGTTTTCAAGACTAAAAGTCTCAGAGTGATGATGTATTAGTGGAAGTGTAATAGTGGATTAATTGAACCACCTTGCACTAGGATGTGAGAACAAGATAAGTTGATTATAGCAAAGAGATACTAGACTTTATATGATTACAGGGAATATGAAAGGTTTAACTGTAACTGCAGTTGCGGTTCGATACAGCGACGACTCGGGTAACTGCTCAATAGTGAGTCAGTTATGTGTCCTTGCTGTCGCGCTGCTTTTCGGCGAGTCAAAGGTCGCTGACCTTTGACCTTCACTTAACCTCTTGCTATTGTCTTCTTGTCAACCGCTTTGGTTGACTCGCTGTTACTTCGCTGTAGTTCGCTTCGCTTACGTTGTAGTGTTCGACACTTCAGAAGCGCGAACTAGATGTTTCCAACACTCCCCTTCGCTTCTGGAGTGTCATCGCCTTCGTTGCTGGTGACGTGGCCATGTCCAGTCAGCAGCATGCAGTGCTCGAACTTCCATTTTCCGAGTTTCTTGGTCGGGTAATCTGCTGCCATCTCGGACGTGGGACAGTAGGATAGCTCGAGTCTCCCTTGCTCGATCTCGTCCTTCACGAAGAAGTAGCGCAGGGCAATGTGCTTCATTCGGTTTGCGAACCCGCGCTTGTTCGCTATGCGAATTGCAGATTGGTTGTCGCAGAAGAGTGAGAAGCTAGGTAACTGGGCCAGCTTTGCTTCTTCCAGTAGTTCGTGAAGGTATAGTCCTTCCTTGGTGGCCGAGCAGAGTGCAATGTATTCTGCTTCAGCAGAGGAGAGAGCTGTTAGTTCTTGCTTGCTCGACTGCCACGAGATAGGACCGACGGGCTCAAGTCGATAGATGTAGCCGGTGCGCGATCGCCTGTTGTCAGAGTCGCCTGCGTGGTCAGCGTCCACGTAGCCGATAGTTTTGGAGTTGTGGTTCCGGTCTTGTGGTAGGTTAGGCCGATCGTTGGTGTGCTGACGAGGTAGTGTAACGCGCGGTCGAGTTCCGCCATGTGCTCTGCTTTTGGCCGTTTGGGATAGGTAGCAAGCTGGCTCGCTGAGTACGACAGGTCCGGTCGGCAGGTAACGGCTGCGAAGAGTAAGCATCCAAGTTTCCGCTGGTAGTCGCGTAGTCCGGCAGATCCGAGTAGATTAGACTTTTCCTGGTGATTTCCGGCGGTGTAGCGATAGGGCGTGGATATGGCCGCTGGCGATAATCCAAAGCGTTTGGCGATTGTGTCGGCATATTTTGCGGCGCTGAGGTAGATCGCGTTTTCTCCATCGAGTATGTTGAGTCACAGGTACTAGGTTACAGTGGAAGAGACCGTGAGTGAGAGATCCCGTTGCAGCTCCCCTTCAAACCAGGTGAAGATGTCGTCGGTAGAGCCTATGTAGAGCAAGTCGTCTACGTACACGATCAGCAGAATGTACCCAGCTTCCTTCGTGAGTCTATACATTCCCTGGTCGTGTGGTAGTTGTTAAAAGCCGATACGAATTAGTTGTCAGAATGTTATAATGCTTACATTTGTGTAGGCTATAGTGGAGTACCCCATAAGGGGTACAACCCAATTAGGGTTAGTACTTGTACCCAACTCTTTCATAGTTCATTCCATTCTCGTTCGTTAGTTTGACATGGTTTCAGAGCAGGTCCTTCGCTAGGACCGTTTTTTTTTTCCTTGGGCCCACCACAGCGCTGCCCCACTAGCCGCCCCTAGCGACCCTCGTGCCGCACCTGCTGCCCCGCGCGCCGCCCTCGTGCGGCCTTCCCGTCGCCCCTAGGCCCGCGCCCGTCGCCCCTAGCCCCGGCCCGTTGCCCGACGCCCCTAGGCCCCGGCCCGTCGCCCGCCGCCCCTAGGCCCGCGCCCCTCGCCCCTAGCCCCGGCCCGTCGCCCGACGCCCCTAGGCCCCGGCCCGTCGTCCGTCGCCCCGCGTCCGTCGCCCCTAGGCCCCGGCCCCGGCCCTTTGCCCGTCGCCCCTAGCCCCTCGGCCCGTCGCCCCTAGGCCCCGGCCCCGTCAACCGTCGCCCCTAGCCCCGGCCCGTCGCCCGTCGCCCCTAGGCCCCGGCCCGACGCCCGTCGCCCCTCGGCCCGTCGCCACTAGCCCCGGCCTCGTCGACCGTCGCCCTCAGCCCCGGCCCGTCGCCCGTCGCCCCTAGGCCCCGGCTCGACCCCCGTCGCCCCTAGGCCCGTCGCCCCTAGGCCCCGTCCTGACGCCCGTCGCCCGTCGCCCCGCCCGCGCCGCCCCTTGCGGCCCGCCAGCTTCGCCCCTGCAGCCCGCGAACCGCCCCATAGGCCTCGCGCGCTGCCAATGCTGCCTTGCGCGCCGCCCCTGCAGCCCCGCGCTTCGCCCCTGCAGCCCGCGAACCGCCCCTAGGCCCCGCACGCAGCCAGTGCTGCCCTGCTCGTCGCACCTGCAGCCCCGCGCGCTGCCCTTGCAGCCCCGCGCTTCGCCCCTGCAGCCCGCGAACCGCCCCTAGGCCTCGCGCGACGCCAGTGCTGCCCTGCTAGCCGCACCTGCAGCCCCGCGCGCTGCCCCTGCAGCCCCGCGCTTCGCCCCTGCAGCCCGCTAACCACCCTTGCAGCCCCCCGCGCCGCCAGTTCTGCCTTGCTCGCCGCCCCTGCAGCCCCGCCCACTGCCCCTAGCCCCCTAGCCGCCCCCTGCTGCCCGCTCGCCGCTTGCTTGCGGCCAGCTCGCCGCCCTCTTGCGGCCCTGGTGCCTGCCCTGCCTTCCTCCGTGCTGCCCTACTGGTCGCGCGCCTCCTAGCTTACCCGCTATGACTTCTCTTCGTCGCAGCGGTGGGAGTGGTGACGGCGGTGGTGGCAGCAGTGGGAGAGGTGGCGGCCGTACTAACGGTCCCTGTGGAGCTCTTCGGTGGGGAGTTTCTGGCGGTGGCCAGATGCAGCTGCAGCGGAGTCAGCGCAAGTCCCTTCCACCCCAGCAGCTACGTGAGTGGTACGCGAGTAGGCGTGGTGGCGGTGGCAGTAGTGGCAGTCGCTGTGCAGCTGTTCAGTTGGGAGTCTCTCGCCGTGGCCTGGCGCAGCTGCAGCGGCGTCCGCGAGTGACCCTTACGCCTCAGCAGCTTCGTGAGTGGTACGCTCAGCGTGGGGCGTCTCGGAGTAGTGCTCGCTGCCCATACGTCATTCGCACAGGTGCTCGGGCTGGTCAGACTTGCGGGACAGTTGGTCACACACAGTCCCGCTGCTTCTCCTGTCTGAGCGACACCTGGCGTGCAGAGTTTGGCGCCGCAGCTGAGCTTCCCCGCTGGCTAGAGCTGCTTAGGCAAGGTGTGGATATCTTTTCTATAGACTATGACGCTATCCTCACTGCCATGTATGCATTGCCTATTGGTACTGAGGGTGACTGTTCCCTGTGTGTGCTGCCAGACCCAGGTATAGAGGCTGCTGCTCTAGGTGCGAGTGAGTCTGCTCTCCCTGGTACTGCGCCTGCTAAGGCCTTGCACACCTTTACGCTTGACTCAGGTGCCTCCCGCTGTTTCTTTCGCGACAGCCCTACCCTCACTCCTCTCTCTGCACCTGTACCGGTCAAGCTCGCTGACCCCTCAGGGGGCCCAGTCCTCGCCCTTTCCTCCACTGTTCTCCCGTGTCCGGCGGTTCCGTCCGGCTCACTGTCAGGCCTTCACCTCCCCTCGTTCGCTACAAACTTGGTGAGTACCGCTGCCCTCCAGGACGCGATGGTCACTACCACCACTCCTAGGGGTCAGCGTGTGTCGATCTGCACGTGTACACGGACGGGCCGTCACCTGGCCACGTTCACTCGTCGGCCAGGGTCGAGTCTGTACACACTGGCTACTGAGCCTCCTCAGGTAGCTGCGTCTGCCCAGGTGTCCGCGTCAGGTCAGGTAGCACCCCCTTGCTCATGTCGCCTCCTGTCGCACTAGACTCTTCTGTGGCACCACCGCCAGGGTCACCCCTCCCTTCCACGCCTTCGTGGCATGCACTCCCGCCTCCTTGTTTCTGGTCTTCCCAGGTCTTTGCCTCCCCTCCCACCCTCGCCTGCCCCGCCCTGCCTTCCTTGCGTCGAGGGGCGGCAGCGCGCCGCTCCTCACTCCTCCTTGTTTCCCTCGGCGACTTCTCCCCTGCAGACTCTCCACATGACGTGTCGGGCCCAGCCCGCGTCAGTGAACAGGGCCGCGAGCGCTACTTTCTGGTGGTTGTTAACGACTACACGCGTTACATCACGGTCTTCCCCTTGCGCAGCAAGGGTGAGGTCCCTGATGTCTTGATCCCTTAGATCCGAGCAGTCCGTCTCCAGCTTCGCGAGCAGTTCTGTGCAGACCTTCCTGTCTTGCGTCTGCACTCTGACAGAGGTGGTGAGTTCTCCTCCGACCTCTTACGAGACTTTTGTCGTGGGGAGGGCATTCTCCAGTCGTTCACGCTTCCGGACTCCCCTCAGCAAAATGGGATTGCTGAGCGCCGCATTAGCTTAGTCATGGAGGTCGCTCGTACCTCCATGATCCATGCGGCTTCTCCCCATTTTCTGTGGCCGTTTGCAGTCCGGTAAGCTGTGCATCAGCTCAATCTCTGGCCTCGTGTCTCCTTGCCGGAGACCTCGCCGACACTGCG